CAGGTCCCTCGGCGGATGGCTCAGTGAGCACCCTCCGGATGTGCCAAACAGTCGGTGGTTGGCGGTTCGGAGTCCCGTTTGCACTCTTATAGGGGACTGCGTGCTTAGCAGCCCCCTTGCAATCGACAAAGGCGACGTTCCGGGCGTGGGTTTTGGGACCTTGTACTCGAGTTACGGGGGACTCTCTGCACACGCTTTGGGTGGTTTCCAGTTTGCGAGGGATGGGCGAGTCGTGCTTTGGTCGTCGAGCGAACATTTTTGCGGCGCCGTTTGGGTCCATGGTCGTCTCTCTCGGAGGGCTTCGTTCACGACAGCTCGGTCGTCGTTGGYGGCGGTCGCGGCTGTCGGGGCTTTCCTATGCCGTGGTGCCGGGTTGTGGATCGTTGCGTTCACCCTCGCTCATCGTTTTGCGATGATTGGCGCCTGATCGCCCACGGCGGTCCGGTTGGCGGTYGTTTGCAGGGTGTGGAGGCGAAGGTGCCCGTCACCGGCTCTCAGCTTCGGCACCATCGTCCCGTAGGTTACGGGGAGAGCTGTTGCGGCTCTGTTGTGGTGTGGTCTTCGTGTCCGCACTCACAACGGCGCGTTGCGTTTGTGTTGAGGGGGTGTCATGACTTGGTGAGGACGCTCTGCGCTCTTCACCATCCGAGCGGCGCCATTGAGCGGTGGCGCAGGTGGCCTCGGCCATGCACGCGCTGCTTACCGTATGCGAGGGCGGAGACTTGTGGGAAGCGTGATGCACCCTCCGACGGCGTCGCGAGGCTGGGCCCGTCATCCGCCCGACTTTTTGGAATGCGCGCTTGTGCCCGTCGTGTCCCCCATCATGTGGTCTCGGTATGCTGCACACCGTGACGGATCGCGTTGCGTCGTGGTTCCGCTGCTTTTGGGTTGTGGGCTTCGAAGGCTTACTGTCCTCTGTCTCCTGGGTTTCGCCTGCGTCGAGTGCTGTTGGTGGTGCCCGCAGCAACCGGCGGGTGTGGGCCCAGGGGGAGAGGGGTTGTGTTTCTTTTGCGCCCCCGTGCACAGGTGGAGGCTTTCCGTCCGTCCGGGCGTGTTGGAAGTGTGGTGCATTCGTTTCTCTCTTCACCCGCGTTTCTCGATGGAGAGATAAGGCTGTGCACTTCGCTGTCGGTACGTTTTGGGCAGGCGGTGGCATCCGGCTGTGGGCCGAAGCTGTCGGTGGTTCCTTCGCGCGCGCTGTTGTTCGGGTAGTGTGGTTAACTTGCGATCTCTGGGTGTGGTGTGGGCGGGTGCTGTTCTCAGCCAATGTCTTGGGCGGGTGCAGCGGGCTGTGTTGGATTGTGCGGTGCCTTGCCGTTGGAGATGGCCTACGCAGGGAAGTTCACCTGCAATCCAAACAGCCGGACTTCGCGGCGTCTCGGCAGCTGATTGCACGTTCCACGATTGTTCGACGTTCTTTTGGTAGGCTGTCCGGCGTGACGTGCCTACGTGCGCCTCGGCCATCGCTCCTTGCGTCTGCTCGTCACACCCGCTACCTGGTTRATCCTGCCAGTAGTCATATGCTTGTCTCAAAGACTAAGCCATGCACGTCTGAGTGTGAACAGTTTGCACTGTGAAACTGCGCTGGCAAGGTGGAGGAGGGGGTCGCAAAGCATATATCGGTTATCCCCCCGCAGGAGCGGGAACGGGGGGCGGACGTAGTGAACGAAAAGGTAAATTCTGACCACCAGGAAGGAAAAGAGTGCGTGCCTGAACTGGATAGGGAGTGGGGGCGGGGGGAGTCGAGCGGAGGACGGGCGGATGAACCCCCCCCCACGGGGGAGGAGAAATTGGTGGGGAAGGGGGAGGGTAGATTTGATAGGCAAGTACCTCGGATTCCGGGGGGGGAGACTGGGCAAACTAAGGAGGTGCTGCGTGAGCTTGGGGGGGAATGTAAGCAGAAGGGACAGGTGGGGCTCGATGGGATTAGGTCAGGGAAAGTGCCGGAGGACATTAATGAGGCTAATGGTTGGTCGAATGCGGAGGTAGTGGAATCTTCGGGATAGTTGGATGAAGGGGGGGGGGG